CGGGGGGGGGGGGGGGAGGGTTATGGTGGACTCACGTGACTGAACCGTGAATTCATTTACGGCCATGTAATCCATATTACCAAATAAATCGTTTTAACCATATTTGGAATTGGTCACCCCTTATCAGACTGGAATTCAGGCAGATTAAAGTCAAATCGAAACAATGCATCGAAAACAACGGATTAACAAGTAATACAAAACTCTGTTTAGAATAACAAAACAAAACTTAGACTGGGACTGTTTGGATTAGCCCATTCGTTTTCTTTTTCACACCCACCAGGCACTGTTGATGATCTTTGGTGAGGGTTTCACTTTTTGTGGGATCGTTATTTCCCCACGACATAAATACATTGAAATGCGACGGAAATATTTGTGATGACCGACAAAGAGCGCAAAGGACAGCTATTTCCTGCTGTGTTTGAGAATAGTCAACAGTGTGTTTTGTATCCCTTTCAGGACTCGAACTATGAACCTTAGGGTCAGCTCTTCAAACACTTAATCCCGAGCTACACAGCCCACACTCATTACCTGACGAGTCCCAAACGGGACGAAACAGCGATGCAGTGCTCTTTGTTAGTCATTACAAAGATTTCCTTACGTATTTAAACAAAACAACCCACATTTTACCGATCCGATCAGGCTGATTTACGTTTTGACTAGGCTCAATAATCCGTTTGGTTCTGCGAACAGATACAATTGTACCGCAGATGAGCATAACCAAACGGGTGCAACATTTTTCTCACAAGATGACGGAAAACTGCAATTGGAACATGGTGTGAGATAGAGACAAATCGTATGGGTTTTTGCAAATCCAGGGTCGTATCACTTTGCTCGGAAAATCCAATTCGATGAGAAATCCGAGCAATGACAACAACAACAATAACGAGAACAATCTGCACCTCCTGCTATGAGAGGCGAAAATTTGAAAGCTCTGTTAGTCGCTTGGTCACGCACTGTCAGTGGCCCTGTCATAATTGAACGGTTTTGACACGGAGACAAATGTGTTTGTTCTCGGCATGAGATCGGATGGATCGGTTCTAAACGAGGGACAATCAGAAACTATACACACGTGAATGAAAAAGTTCCGAGTGTAGAAAAATTTCCCAGGTCTTTTAGACGATCAACCACCGTTAATCTTTTTCTTTGTTTGTTTGTTTTGATAACATTCCATTCGTGCCTTGGCATGTTCGCATACAAACGAATCACGTTCGGTTGTGAGGGAAAGATGCTATCACATCCTCTCTTCCCACCACTCATGCATTTTATTTAATTTTCGTTCTTTCGTGCAGTGCAAGTCTGTTTTGAACGGGCTAGGTTCAGAAACCAAAACACCCCCTTACTGTGTCTGTGAAATCAATCGTCGATCGATCGCATTGTTTGGCTCTGTTATTTGCACTATTTAGAAACCAATGAAAGTTCATTTTCCAAGCAGCGATCACTATGTATGTATGTATGCATGTATGTATGTATGTATGTATGTATGTGTGTGTGTTTGGTGGAGCCCGAGTACATTGTTTTCCGAAGGAATTGACTAGCAAAGTATCTGGGTAGTCCAGAAACAGAACGCCGGTTTAGTTCTGTCGGTGAAGGTGATCCCAAGTGTATTCCAGACACCAGTATTATTCACATGTTCCATGTAGGTTGATTGACCGNTCCCACAGCGGATGGCCGAACATATTCCAAAATCGTTGGTGAAATCGATGACGCAACCGATAATTGATGGCCAAGTGATTGCAAGAAATCCAGGGTCATCTGTTGCAAAATATCGCTTTGCAACAAGACAGATAGTTGACCCTAATTCGTCCTCCAAACCGCTATTAAGTAATCTTAATGTTAAACGTTTGACAATTAGAGTAGCACTGCTTATTCCATTTCTGTTTTTGGGTTTATTTGTATCTGTATATATGTATTCATAAGATTTCCTTGTTACACTACTGCCTGGTAGAATTTAGCACAGCTTAGAGAAACTCACCACCGGCCACCACTGTGCGTAAATATAATATAATCTCTTTCTTGCCTCATCCTCATAAGCTCATTGGGTAACTATTTCGGAGTTTGCTTTTCTAATCATAGTGAACCCTAGAGGAGGGTTGTTATTCCGCCAAATTGTTATGTTTCGCACCCCGTATATCCGTTACCTACTATTAGTTCGCACAGCACTATATCACAGGTGAATACCACAAGTGCAAAGAACACAGGATATAGCACAATAACAATAGTAGCACACGGGAACACAGGAACAGCAGACTAGCACTAGGTCCGTAAGCGGATAATAGTTCTAGGAGCAGAAGCTACCTAGACGAAACACAGAACGCACGGTCGGTTATTGATATCTCGGGCCTCCTAAAACACGAGAGAAAATACTCGGTTTCAGCAGCACGGGATTTTAATGGCGTTGAGCACAAATCGCAAGTCACGAGCCACGAGTTTTACTCTGCGGCTAATGTGTGACTGAAAGTAACACTGATCAATTCAGGAAAACGAATGTACCAATGAAATACACAGTGGGCAGTGTTCAACCGGCCATAGGCTACGGACCAGACGGACGGACTGAATGAATATTGCCGTACGACGCAATATTATTGATTTATCTCCGCAAGATTTGTATTGATCCGTTACAACCCTAATTTGATTCGAATGTGTTGAAAAATTGTTTGGTTTTGTTCACAGAATTAGCAAGTGTGCAACCGGGCTTATCGTGGGACGAATGGCATTGATCTTCGTCCCAATACTATATTTCTTGAGAACGAATCACCATCTTCTAACTTCTGGAAACTGGAAAAATATCAATTTCCGTATCACAAATCAGAGGAAGAACGGAATTGTAACAGTTGAGACCATATATGAAACTAGGTGATCCTCAAATTCCCACGAATTAGATTTTCCGTGTGCCTGTGTGCGCGTGTCTGTGACGGGAGGGGGGGGGGGTTTGAGTACAGCTACATGCATTCATTCGGTTGTTCCCGCTGTCATTTTGATGTCAACTGAGCAGCAGAAACAAGCACGTGAGTTGATATTGGTAACCAAGTATCAACCGTTTACGGAATACTAAGCCACACACACACATGAATGCAATCAGGCAGGCAAACATACACAAAAACACATTGTTCCGTATCCGCTAACCGTAATAAATCGGAATGGTCGAGAAACGTAACAGATCCGAATGAAGTACTCTGTGTTACATCGTCTTCAACTAGTCCGTCTCCTACAAGAGCATGGCACATTTCAGGCCGCGTGTGATGCCTTTCACAAAGCTCATCCAGACCTACCCAAACCATCGTTGGGTGCTTGTTTCCAGCTCGCTCGCAAAGTGGCTGAGACCGGGTCCGTGCAAGATCGACCTCGCGGACCACGAGAGAAACCGGCCACGGGAGATCACATGCTGGAAGATTTACGCGCAATCCTGAAAGATCAACCAAAAATTTCCACACGAAAACTGGCTCAATATTTTTCCGTCTCGCATGCATCTGTCTATCGATTGTTGAAAGTGAACGGTTATCGACATTCACGATTTCACTCAGATGCGCAACCAGCCCCACGTGATGTTCGGGCCCGTTTGACTTTTGCCCGATGGTTTCGAACTACTTCGATGGCTCACCAGCATTTAGAACGTGACATTCTGTTTTCCGATGAAGTCACGCTTCATTTGAATCCCGCTCGCAATGCGAGTTGTGAGGCCGGATGGAGTCGAGAAGACGGTGGTGATTCGGTCGGATCCGGTCCCGTGCGATGCACT